TTCCAACCGAGTGGCACTTGTCCAGTACTAGGAGAAGCTCGGAAGAGTAAGTACAGGGGTACCGCCAACTCCACGACTAGCTCTTACAATAGCTTTGCAGGTGTTTCATTCGGACCTGACGACTTCGTTTCTTCGAGCTGTAGAATTTATCGCAGAACAGTAGTTTCCGTGAGTGCGACTGAGTCTATGCTCTGGATCTCACCCACACTTAAGTTTATAGCGGCGAACTGGGCCTCACCCGTAAAGACCCAGTGAAGGAAGCAGGATAGATGTTCCGCCTTTTCGTTAATCTCGAAAACTTCTACACCATCGTCTGAGGTGTGGGGTCACTTTTTAGAGTGCGTTGTTTTACGTAGCTGTAGAAAAGCTTTGGGTTTCCTACAGCACGGTTTATTAGATAACTCTCGAAGCCTTGGCGGCTATTTTGTACCAGGCTCTCAACCCTGTTTCTCTGCGCCATATACTTATTGTGCGACTCGGGGATCATCTCTCTGAGATAAGTTTGCCACACCCTTCGTTTGCAGTTTTCTTCTCTCTTCCGTGTGGGCGTTAGCCATAGAGGCCTTTTCGTTTCTTTCTTTACTGTGATAGGACAGAAATTGATAATTAGTCCGTGTAATGCAGCTTTGAATCCCAACCAATCATCGAGAACGCACCCGGTGAATGTTTTATTCCAGTCTATCCTGATCACTGTGATTCCATTCGTTTCAAGTCCCCTCTCCAGATGTTGCATCTGGTTATCGCACTAAGATCGGGCACAGAGATGAGTGAATACTTTCACTGTAGTAATACGTGGTCACTTTTTCCGAGATGTGGTAAACAATTTACGACGTCAACGCTATCAGGCGCTTTGGTCAGTACTAGGTCTAAGCAATTGACTAGTTGCCCTTCGCGTAGTCTGGTCGGATATAGGACGTGTTGCCTAAGGAAGTATTCTTGTACTATTTCAGTCGATATGGGGAGCGTTAAAGTCTCCCATGATCATGACATCGGATCTCCTAGCGAATTCTTCGACTTCTTCTATCAGACTTGTGTCTGACTGTTGGTTGCTCGACCGTGGGCGGTAGACCACCATGATATCAAGGGCATGTTACCCCGGCGTTTTAACGGTGAGCCATATTGCCTCTATATTGCCCGCAAGGGTTTCGGATTTGTCGGACGCGAGCAGGCCATGTCTAACACAGATTAGCACACCCCCACCTTGACGCCCGACTCTATCTTTTTGGAACAATTGAAACCCGGGGAGAGCAATTTCCTGATCGCCTACCATCGTGGACAACCATGTTTCCGTTATGCAGACGACGTCTGGGTCCAGTTGGCACATATTAATCTTAAGCTCATCTATTTTAGACAGCAGGCTTCGTACCTTGGTGTGCGTGCACTTTAGTTTCATTGTACGGTGTAATCCGGTTGTGTCAGTCACGTCCTGACTGTAATTCAGAATTTTACTGGTTGATTCGATGTTTTCTTTTGAATTATCTTCCCGTTGAAGACTGTCAGGCCTGCCTTGCCATTCTTAATCCTCGACTGTAATTCCGCTACTAGTTCTCGGCGTTTCATCCGTTCCTCCGGGGAATAGTCCGGTTGGAAAAAAACCTCTTTATGCAAGTGACATAGGTAAGTTTTTTTAGACAAGATCAGCTGGACATATTCCTTTTCTTTCAGTATATTTTTTAATGTCTTGGGTTTCGGTATATCTGCGGTACCTGCCGGCCTTTTCCCTATCGAAAAGGACTTCAGAACTTCGAATTCTTCACCTGGCGGAAACAGATCTCTCAGAACATCATTAAAGGAAACCAGGTCCGGATCGTCTTGGACGTTTGAGCTGTCTGAAATGGCTTCTTGTAAGCCCTGTACAAAGAGACAGTATTCACTATCCTGTCGGTGCCGAAGGCCCTTAGATACAGTTTCCGCCACATTTTCTGCAGTGGGCCTGGGGCTCGGACTGGGTGGTGTGACTGTTTGGTCGTCGGAACTGTCTGGAGTTGCTTCTTGCGACCCCTGTGCAACTAGACTATGATCACGATCCTGCCGGGAACCCTGAGGTACAGTTTTGGCCACCTTCGCTGCAAGACGCCTCGAGCTCAAACTGGCTAGAGTCAATGCTTCGCCAGCATGGACTTTGCTGCTGTCGATAAGGGTGCTGGCGAGGCCAGGCACAGCAAATGTAGGGGCCCTCACTGTAGGTTTCGGTACGCTCTTGTCATTTTTAATGGTTGCCTTTGTTTTAACTGATGACACAGTCGCCTCTTTGTTGTCTACATCGAGGGTGTTCGAATTCGCCTCAACTGTGTCTACACAGTCAACTATGATGGCCTATAATTTAGGTATAGGGACCCTCTTTTATTGCTTGGATGTTTCATGCGTATGCGTGGAAACTGTCATTTTTTCCATTGCAGCGATGGTCTGGTGCATGAGTTCTTGCATATTTGCAAGTTTTCCTCAAGTGGCAATGGTTTCCTGCATGCGTCGATCGCACTCAGTTAGTAAGGCTTTTCGATCGCCCCTCACAACGTGAGGCGATAGCGCATTCGTCAACGTCGCGGTCTTGTGTTAGGGTGGGTTTGGGTTCAAATCCCCCTCGCGGCAGATTTTGCATTTGAATTCTAGTTAGCCTTATTTTTCGCACGACCACTGTGTACTCAGCAAAAAAAGGTTCAGATGTGAAGGGTTGCCTTATATATGAGACAGAAAGCCTAAGTCGTCGCTTTGCTAATGTAAGAATACGTTAGAAGTCGAATCTTCTTACTTAAGACGATCGCTTTTAGAATTTAGGAAGCAGAACTTTGACGTAATTCTAGAAAAATTTCTAAACGTGTAAACTTATTTGAGGGTCGATAACAGCAGGCGTAACAACCAAGATAGTTTAATTCGTATCTACTAGGTTACATCAAAACTGGTATCACAGCAGAGGCGATATAATGGAAGAGAGTGACTCAGCCTTTTCAGATTTTTCTACGACTCCTTCGTGGGCATTATTTTCTGAGAATTTCCCCAGCGACAGCATTGGAGGAGTTTCGTTGATCCAAGTTCGTTTAGGGAGAGTTGGTGCGATATTCTGCTTTGGTTTTTAGAAGGTAATTGAGCGAGCATATGTATTTAGACCCAGGTGGCGATTGACGAGAAGGATACAGTGGTATGGTTTGTTCAATGAACAGATTTTGTGAGTATCCTGCTTTGTACGTAAATCAAGTGTGTTGTTCATGACACACTATGCTTGCACATTGGAAAGAACTATTTTTCTCTTGATACGCCACTCGCTGAAAAATTTCAAACCGCGCGCGGGCAAGATTTTTTCAAGGTCACTCGGTCAACCTGAAGGATCTCCCCTCCGACGTGTTCAAACAGGTGGAGGTCGACCGTACAGACCTCATGTCGAGAATGACAGTCGTGCAGGCAACGGGTGACAAGGGAAAGCCTGCAAGGCCTGCCACGTAGGGCCACATCCAATACGCGTACAGCATTAAGGTGTGAGTGCATTAGCCATGCCTATAATATGAGACAGGCGGCCAGAAAAAAAATAATTTTTCGCAAGCAGGAACACACACCTCACCACTATGAAAATGGAAACGAGTATACAGTAAGGCGAGTCCTGCAAGCAACTTTCCTAAATTTTTAAATGTTTGATTATTTCTCC